AAAACTACCTATGCATGTCTTCAGCTGAAGAGTATGATCCTCCTTATTCTCAGAGAAAATCTGTCTCCAGTCAAAAGTGAAACAGAGAAAGCAGAATAGTTAATTTATGTTTTCTCTAATACTTTTTTCTATTCACTCTTTTCTAATCAGCTGACATTTCTCATTATCTTTGCAACTGGAGAAAAAGTTTTCTACTTAGAAGTCATTATGGTAATAGTCCTGGATTAAGGGCTACAAATTACTCCCTTAATATCACAAGCAATGCCTTAAATTAATATTTTAGGACTGGTTTTGCTACTTCAAATCATCACCTTTTAAGAACTTGGAATATTACTAAGACCATTTATGAAAACGTGAACGTACATATCTTCCTCTCAGGAAGAACGAAGTACCACATTAGTCCAACACAGTCAATGTAATACCTCTGGGCAGCTGCAGAGCAGTTGGATTATGCACGTCATTACCATTTGTAATGACATGCTAATGATATTGTTCAACAATACTCATTGCAAGTCTTATGAAATTAGTATTTATACTGCACTGATTAGGTACAGAACAGAGCACCCATATCTCCCAGTACTCAAATTCCTTCCCATCAAATCTTCCTGCAGAACTTGAAAGTTTACACACAAGCATGCTTGTGCTAGTGGAGCAAAGGGTTGGGTTTTTTGTTTTGAGATGTTCCTTTGAGTTTAAATTCAAAATTAACTTATTCCAAATAATTAAGCCTTAGAATGGAAGAAGATTAATTATACCCTCTAATTCTCTGTTATGCTCTCGAGTGGAAGTCTACCTCAGCAATCATTTTGGCACAATGGAACCAAACCTCGCAAACAAGGCATTCAGTACTGAGGATATGAAATCCACTCGTCTATGTCTGAGGGTGTTTATTGTGGACTACCTCTAATCTGGTCCTACAGACTGAATGTTCATTCACAGCTTTAATGCACCTTCTAGCTTAGTTTCAAAAGAATCCAAGTTTGTGTGTTCCAAGACTGCTCTGCAACAGAAAACAAAACTCAGCAAGTGGAAAAAGCTGTGATTCATTCCAAAAGCCACCTTTTTATTCAAACTAAAAGTACATTCAGTCCCCAATTTCCTTATTTGAATGGATCAGAATTACAGGCTTGCTACAAGGAACCAACATAGCGGGGTATGCATGACCCATTAGATTATGATATGGTTCCTAAAATTCCAGACTAAAGCAGGAGTTTGAGAAACAGATTGATGGATTAATAGATGACATAACTGCAAACTCACTATTTTGTAATCAGTGAAATTCCCTTATGACTAGGGGACAAACCCAGTTTACCAGCACAGAACAAGACTGTACTTCTCAGAACAGCAAGTAAATAGTGTATTTGCTAGAAACAGCAGCTTTTACAAAGTTAGAATTTAATTTCTGATCCGAGTAATAAGTCATTGACTCAAGGACAAGGGAGAGGTCACGGAAACAGCAGGCCAGGCAGTCCAACCTTGCACCTTGGAAGGTTACATAGCCAGCTCCCCTGGGAACTTCACTAAAGACAAGGCAACTAGGAACATCCAGCGTGACTTTACTCTTCAAGTGCCAAGACACTGGCACAGGTTGCCCCAGGCAGTTGTGGATGTCCCCTCCCTGGAGGTGCTCAAGAACAGGGCTTTGAGCAACCCAGTCTTCTGGGAGGTGTCCCTGCCTATGGCAGGGGGGTTGGACTGGATGATCTTTAAGGTCCCTTCAACCCAAACCATTCTGTGATTCTATTTTAACAGAGGCAAATCATGCCTGACCAACCTGACTGGCTTCTACAGTGAGATGGCTGACTCTGTGGACACAAGAGCAGCAAAGGATGTTGCATAAGTTGATTTCTACCTAGGCCTTTCACTAGGTTTCTCACAGTATCCAGACACATTAGGGATACAGTTTGGAGAAGCAGAACATCAACTAGGTGGTCAATATTGGACAGTTGGTCCACAAGACTCAAATGGTTTTGATTGCAGTATAGGGACTGGACCAAATTATCTCTAGAAGATCCTTCTAAACTAAATTCCTCTGTAACTTTAGTAGTGCAACAACTTGTATTATAAACAAAGATCCAAAGTGTCTCACAGCCATGGACACACACTGCAAACTGGAAAAGCTCCACTAGCTGAATTAGTGCCCTCCATCCTCTCCCTTCATTCCT